ATGGTAGGTTGTCCTGAGACTTTTAGTTCCACCACAGTTGCAGAATGGCCTTAGTGACCTCTAAGTACCAGCAGTATACTCAGAGCCATGTGACCTCTCCAGGTTGGGGAAGATCCTCTCTGAGCGCCTCTTCCCGGGCCGTCCTGGATATTCAGCTGCCCATCATCTCGGATGAGTTCAAGTTCCGGTGTGGCGGAAGATGTTCCGGGCACTGATGCCAGGTGAGATTCAGGGAGGGGCTTTGGGGTTGGACACACCTGATTGGCCCACATGACACAGAACTAATAATGGTCATCCAGTACTGAGCAGGATTTCCATCATTGTTTGCTCATTGAATAGCGCCCCTGTGGCCCACAATCAGCGGGGTTCACTTTTCACGTAGTGTAGTCATTCCACCATCAAGGTTTACAAAGTATCCAGATGAACTGCTGGCAACCCAAGGCATCTGCCCGTGCCATTGGTGACCTCCAGCTTCTGTGCCTAGGGAGCAGTGCGGGGACAAGGTCATCCGGGCAAGGATGCCAAACTGCACCCTCCCATTCGTGATGTGCAGGCTTAGGGGATCCTACGCCCAGCAGTCGCCCACTAATCTAAATCACAGCCGCTATCACTACTCTTTTCAGCCTAGTAACAGAAGGAAGGTGCCCTCATCATCCATACAGTAATCCATTGCGCCTAGGGCTCACTCGCCCCTCCTGGCCCTTTGCCCCCTGTCCCTGGGGCACTCGCCCCTCCTGCCTGCCCCCTGTCCCTGGGCACTCGCCCCTCCTGCCTGCCCCCTGTCCCTGGGCACTCGCCCCTCCTGCCTGCCCCCTGTCCCTGGGCATGCTCGCCCCTCCTGCCTGCCCCCTGTCCCTGGGCACTCGCCCCTCCTGCCTGCCCCCTGTCCCTGGGCACTCGCCCCTCCTGCCTGCCCCTGTCCCTGGGCACTCGCCCCTCCTGCCTGCCCCCTGTCCCTGGGCACTCGCCCCTCCTGCCTGCCCCCTGTCCCTGGGCACTCGCCCCTCCTGCCTGCCCCCCCTGTCCCTGGGCACTAGCGCCCCTCTGCCTGCCCCCTGTCCCTGTGGCTGGCACTCCCCCTCCCCCCCAACCCTTGTACCGGGGCAACTGCCTCTCTCCCCCCCCCCCCCCCCCTGCCCCCCGTCCCGGGCACCGCCCCTCCCCCCCAACCTTGTACCGGGGCAACTGCTCTCCCTCCCCCCCCCCCCCCCCCCCCCCCCCAACCCTTGTCCCGGTTTGCCTCCTGCCCACCCCTTGTCCCAGGGCATTCACCCTCCCTTCCACCCAGGGGCGGACTGACAACGATCATGGGGCCCCCCGGGCAACAGGGATCAAGGGCCCCTGTGTCCATGCCCAAACTCAAAAAAGCCTATGAAAAAGGTACCAGGGGCATCTCATGGGTGGCCCCCTACTGACCCCGGGCCCTTGGGCAGTGCTCGAGTTTCCAAATGGTCAGTCCGCCCCTGCTTCCACCCCTTGTTCCAGGGCACTCACTCCTGCCCACCACTTGTCCCCACCCTGCTAGGCATGCTGCTGTAGTCTTGACTTTTCTGACTTCTAAGCCAGGCCACACCCCCAGTTTTTCATTTTTATCTAATACTGACATGTTTTCAGCCACTTACACCAATCACTGTCCCAGAAAGGAGCTTACACTCCAATGCCCATAGAATGCTTGGGGGAGAAAGGCAATTAATCTGATATTTTTTTGGCAAGAAAGTAAGTTATACAGAAGAAACCCACGCAAACACAGGGAAGACATGCAAACTCCATGCAGATAATGGTGATAATTGAATCCAAGTCCCCCATCCCCCCAGGTACAGTAAGGCCCCTTTCACACAGGCATTCCATATGTCCATTTTTTCATCTGTCTATGGATGAATAGCGGACACCAAGTATTTCTAAGGACTCACTAGAGGATGTAAACGGATGATCAAGGAAAGACTACAGCACTTAGCTGTTGGCCTGCAATACCACATATGCCCAGCAGATGGGGGCAGTAGCACATCATTCACCTTACAGGGGTGCATCATGTTGAACGCACGCCTCTGTACAGCCTTGGTGGGAAAAAAGTTCATGTAACAAAAATGTCAAATATTGCAGCTTAGCAGTCCTGAGATGCAGTGGAAGATTTAGTTTTTTTTTTTTTCAGGATTTTTTCACCTGTTGATCTTGCTAGGAACATTTTTCCTGTTCTAGGGTGACAACCCTCCCTCATACCCTCATCTATGAAGCAGAAGCATTGTCACCGTAGCACAGAAAGTGTGTTAGTACTACAAGACACCTCCCTCTCTCTCTCTTCATTACATAGAGAGAGCCAAGAACAATGTAACTGGTAGCACAGTGGCTAAATGGTTAGCACTTCCACCTGGCAATAATGGGGTCATCTGAATCCCAACCACAGCACCACCTGCCTGGAGTTTGCATGTTCTCCCTGTGCCTGCGTGGGTTTCCTCTGGGTACTCCAGTTTCCTCCCCCACTCCAAAAACATGCTGGGAGATTAATTTGTTCCTGTCTAGATTGGCCCTAGTATGTGTATCTATGAATGTGAGTTAGGGACCTTAGATTGTACGCTCCTCGGGGGCGGGAACTGATATGAATGTATAATATATGTAAAGCGCTGCGTAAATTGACAGCGCTGTATAAGTATCGGGGGGGGGGGGGGGGGGGGGGGGGGGGGGGGGGGGGGGGGAAGGCTGGATTGTGAGCCGCACCAGGTTCCAGTCAGTCCATGTGATGACAAGAAGCATGCTGATAGGATTAGAGAGCAGAGTGACAGATGAGCACATCCTTGTGCTGCTTCTCCATTACCTGTACAGTCAGAGGTTGGGGGTGCGTCCGGGATGACCTTGAAGTGGGTTGAATGTTGGTCATTAGACTGAGGTCATCTGGTGGCAGAAAATATGGTTTTGTTATATTTTACCTGTTAATGCAAAACTCCAGCCAAAAAAAGTTAAAAATAACCCATTAAGACAACACATCGTATGAGGGATGTGAGACGTAATACATTGTAATCAATATAAACATAGTGGCTGATTTACAGAAGTAACTAAATTCCATCATTTCCACAAACTGATGTAATGGGGGTATCTGTTACTTTTATGGATAATTATGCAAATTATATTGGATTATTAAAGCAGGAGATATAAGGACACTAAAGGGTGCATTTATGAGAACATTTGACCACCAATTCGCCCAGTGAGTGCAAATACCTTAATTCTGTGCAAATGGGGCAAAAAAAAAAAAATTGTCATTAGGCCATTTTCTGTGCTTTCTCATTTAAAATGGAAATACCACATTTGGCCATTAGATGGCGTTAAGTATCATAAGAATTGCCTATGATACTTGGTACCAACTAGTGGCCAAACATGGAATTTTCATTTAAATTAATTAAAAACATTCCTCCAGCACAGGAAATGGCCTAATATTTTTTTTTTTGCACATTTCATACGCAACGAATGTACATGCACTTTAACTGGGTGAATTGTTATGCACGTTTTAAAAAAATTCAAGCCTTAATAAAGTTGCAATGACAACTGCTATCGTGCAAATGGACTTAGCGCTTAAAGTACACCTAGAATATCTATGCCCTCCCTGCTTTGAAAATAGTCAGTAGGAGGTTGGCTGTGTCTATCCCAGCTACGCCCCCCCCCCCCCCCCCCCCCCCATTAACAGCTACATCAAGAGGACGTGTGGCCAAGTCTGACTTGAATTTTCCACATTTGTTGTGACTACCATCATTTTTTCCTTCACAGCTCTGGAAAACCTAACCTTTGACCCTGACTCGGCTCAGCAGAACCTGGTCATCTCCTCCGACGGCAAATCGGTCGAATGTTCCGACCACAAACAGTCTGTGTCCGATGACCCGGCGCGCTTTGACAAGAGCAACTGCTTAGTCACCAAACAGAGCTTCACGGAAGGAGAGCATTACTGGGAGGTCATCGTGGAGGACAAGCCGAGATGGGCCCTGGGTGTCATCTCTGACACTGCCAATCGCAAGGGGAAGCTCCACGCCACCCCAGCCAATGGTTTTTGGCTCCTGGGATGTAAGGACGGGAAGGTCTACGAGGCCCATGTAGAGCAGAAGGAGCCTAGACTCCTCCGTGTGGATGGGCGTCCAGAAAAGATTGGGATCTACTTCAGCTTCTCTGACGGGGTCCTCTCCTTCTTTGACGCAGACGATGAGGACAACATCAAACTCCTGTACACTTTCCACGAGCGTTTCTCAGGCCGTCTCCACCCATTCTTTGATGTCTGCTGGCATGACAAGGGAAAGAATGCCCAGCCCCTGAAGATCTACTCACCACCCGGTACCCAGCTTTAAACTTCAGTCTTGACGTTGGCCAACAACACAACTGCAAATTCATGAACCCAACCAAGGAGAAGCAGGTTAATGCATGCAGAATTCAAGAACCAGTCAGTCTACCTCCAAACTAACAAATCTTAGCTCAACTGTCGTTTTTTTTTTCTTTTGTCACAATGACTAGCTGGTTCCAGGGATTCATCCAACCCAACACTAGAACCACAGACATCAACCATTATCTACTCCTCAACTCAATGTGAAGATAATCTATTGTCACTCATTATTGGTGGAACCCCAAAAATGTTGCTGAACTGTTAAAAAAAAAAAAAAAAATAAAAAAAAAAAATGAATGGAAATACACCCAACAAACAGAAGATGAGGGCTTGTCTTGAAGGACCACACCATGTTACAACATTGATGGTTGAGCTTGAAAGACATGTCATTTCAGTTTATGTATTGTGAGGGGCTTCTGAATAAATGTTTATAGAAAAGATTTACTAGTGGTCTTTACTTTTCAGAAATAGAGATTTCAGATCAGTCAGGTGTTGGAGAGAAATTTTAATGCATAAAATTGACTTCCTGTCTAGTAGATTTCATAGGGGAACCTGCCAAAGGGCTCATTCACACAAGCAGCCAGGGAGGCGGTAAAAGCAGGTGGCTGTGCCGAGGCCTTACTGGTGCCATGCTTGGGTAACCTATGCACTCTGGTGGAGAAGCAGGCGTTCTGGTGTTGTGCTGGAGGACACATGTACATTATGGTGCTGTGATTGGGGGAATATATGCACTCTGATCCTGTGCTGGAGGGAGGGAGGTGAAACCTGGCGGAGTCAGATGGATGGAAACATGATACCCCAGAGGTGTTCTATTGGATTTAGGTCAGGCGAGCGTGGGGGCCATTCAAAGGTATAGATGTCTTGATCCTCCAGGAACTGCCTGCATACTCTCCCCACATGAGGCGGGATTGTCGTGCACCAGGAGGAACCCAGGACCCACTGCACCAGCGCAGGGTCTGACAATGGGTCCAAGGATTTCATCCCGATACCTAATGGCAGTCAGGGTGCCATTGTCTAGCCTGTAGAGGTCTGTGCGTCCCTCCATGGACATGCCCCCCCAGACCATCACTGACCCACCACCAAAACGGTCATGCTGAACCATGTTACAGGCAGCAGAACGTTCTCAAGACTCTCACGTCTTTCACAGATGACAGCAGGTTCTCCCTGAGCACATGTGACAAGCACAGGGCGCCAGTGGTGGACCTGCCAATTCTGGTGTACAATGGCAAATGCCAATCCAGCTCTATGTGCCAGGCAGTGAGCACAGGGCCCACTAGAGGATGTCGGGCCCTCAGGCCACCCTCATGAAGTCTGTTTCTGATTGGTCAGAGACATTCACACCAGTGGCCTGCTGGAGGTCATTTTGTAGGGCTCTGGCAGGGCTCATCCTGTTCCTCCTTACACAAAGGAGCAGATACTGGTCCTGCTGATTAAGGACCTTCTAGGGCCCTGTCCAACTCTCCTAGAGGAACTGCCTGTCTCCTGGAATCTCCTCCATGCTCTTGAGACTGTGCTGGGAGATACAGCAAACCTTCTGGCAATAGTATGTATTGATGTGCCGTCCTGGAGGAACTGGTCTGCCTGTGCAACCTCTGTAGGCTCCAGATATGGCCTCATGCTACCAGTAGTGACACTGACCCTAAGCAAATGCTAAACTAATGAGAAACAAAAGATGAGTAGAGAAAAAAATGCCAGCGGCCTCCACCTGTAAAACCATTCCTGTTTTGGGGGTCGTCTCATTGTTGCCCATCTAGTGCACCTGTTAATCAGTTTCAGCAACTTTAGTGTTAATGAAATTAACAACCCCCTTTGCTAATTACCTGACCGGATCAAAATCCCAGGAGTTTCATTGACATTCATTGATGCTGGACTCGGAATAAAAAGTCCTCCTTTCAGTTTTTTGAGCAGTGTATATGTAAATTGACCACACTATACTACAACTACTACTCTTAACCGCTTCTGTGTGTGTAGATGCATGTGATTTTGCATCTCTGGGTAGGGGGCGCACGTTCGCCTACCCACACTGCCATTTGCGGCCTCTGCTGGCAATCACTGGGTCGTGGCTCGCTGGCACCTGGTGATAGCCCAGCATCTCTGATGGGGGCGAGACCTGTGTATAAGCAACACAGATCTCTCCCCTGTCGGCTCCTGAACACTGCTTTGTATGGCTCCCCTGTGTAAAAAAATAAATAAAAAATTATTTGATTGCCCCAGATGTTAACCCCTTCCTGCCCAGTGCCATTAGTACAGTGTCGGTGCTTTTTATTAGCACTGATCACTGTATTGGTGTCACTGGGGATCAGGGTGGATTTGATTTAAATCACTAGTCGGGCTGGATTTAAATCCTAGTTTTCTACATAAAGACTAATTCTTGATGGTATAACTGTAATATGCAAGTAGATGAAGATTTTTAGAATAACAACTTTTCATATTAGTTTTTTTTTTACCCCCAGTTTAATAGGTTACCGTATTTGCCGGCGTATAAGACGACTTTTTGACCCTTGAAAATCTTCTCAAAAGTCGGGGGTCGTCTTATACGCCGGTACACATGTTAGGGGGGCTGCGGCATTAAGTACAGGGGTTTGCAGGGGCTGACGTCTCTTACCTGGATCCAGTCCCACGACGATCCGGTCCAGGAAGCGCGGCGTCTCCTTCAGTTCGGCCACTGGATGTTTGTGCGGCTGCGCGGCTCCGCCTCCTCACCGGTGATTGGCCGCCAGAACTGTAGCTCAGGAAAGGCACACAGGCGGCCAATCACCGGCGAGGGGGCGGAGCCGAGCGTCCCCCCGCGAAAATTGAGTGCCGGAGCAGCAGGTAAGTGCTCTGTGTAGAGGTGCTGCTGCAACCACATATGCTGGCTGCAGCAGCACCATACGAGAACAGGGTCAGCAAGTCTCAGTGGGAGGAATAGTGCCCCATCATTGGTGTCACTGATACCAATGATGGGGCACTATTCCTCCCACTGACACCAACGATGGGGCACTATTCCTCCCACTGACACCAACGATGGGGCACTATTCCCCCTCCCCACTGACACCAATGATGGGGCACTATTCCTCCCCCCACTGACACCAATGATGGGGCACTATTCCTGCCACTGATACCAATGATGGGGCACTATTCCTGCCACTGATACCAATGATGGGGCACCTATTCCCCCCACTGATACCAATGATGGGGCACCATTCCTGCCACTGATGCCAATGATGGGGCACCATTCCTGCCACTGATGCCAATGATGGGGCACCATTCCTGCCACTGATACCAATGATGGGGCACCATTCCTGCCACTGATACCAATGATGGGGCACTATTCCTCCCACTGACATCAATGATGGGGCACTATTCCTCCCACTGACATCAATGATGGGGCACTATTCCTCCCACTGGTGTGCATTGGAAGAGGGGTAGTCTTATACGGCGAGTATAGCCCAAACACTACATTTTAGCAGGAAAAGTAGGGGGGTCGTCTTATACGCCGGCAAATACGGTAATCATTCATATTTGGACAACTTTTCTGTTGTACTTAGGAAGGAGAAAAATAATCATTACCTTAATAATAACAATTTAAATAGATTTATTCATCTGAAACAATAACATTCCAGCATATGTGATTTGCTTAAACAAACATCCATCCATAACTAATTTGGCTAAACAAAATATATATATTTTAAGAAACTTAGACTGTCAGCCCCTCCCTCCTCACACTGTCAGCCCCTCCCTCCTCACACTGTCAGCCCCTCCCTCCTCACACTGTCAGCCCCTCCCTCCTCACACTGTCAGCCCCTTCCCCTCCACTCAGCCCCTTCCTCGTGCAGATCTATTCCACTCCAAACTATCAGAAAAATATTGTTTCTATTCTATTCACTGAACTTCTTGAAACTTCGCACTGAAGGGGTTGATTCTGTATTCATAGGTTTGTAGAAGTTAGGATGAAGGTCTTTTTCTGAACTCTGTTCATGTTATAACATTTTTGCTGTGAAGAAGAGGCATGTGATCTCCGCTGAGTCAGTTTTGAGAACTGCAAAAGTAAACCGAACATCTGTGATAATATCTTGTAGGCAGAGAAACTGCCCAATAATCTTACAAAAACCTCTGGAAGAGCATGACATTGTGAATGGATTCATGGAATTTATTTACCAAAAAAATTAAACATATACAGCCTTATTCTACATAATTAAAGAACTAATCTTTATTTCATGATGGAATAACCTTTGGATGGTAATATATTTTCCTCAAAAGCATTTTATTTAAAATCCGATTTAAATCAAAAAAATCTGATTTAAATAGAAAAAAATTCAAAAAATTTTTTTTTTTTTTTTTAAATCATTGATTTTTATCCACCCTGCTGGGGATGTCAGTGACAGTCACTCCCCCCCCCCCATGTCAGAATGATGCCACAGTCTTGCTATGAGTCGCTGATTGCCACCATTACTAGTAAAATAAAAAAAATCCCAGTATCTATACCGCCAGTGTGTAAATGCTATAACTTTCACGTACCGTATATACTCGAGTATAAGCCGACCCGAATATAAGCCGAGGTACCTAATTTTACCACAAAAAACTGGGAAAAACTATTGACTCAAGTATAAGCCGAGGGTGGGAACACCAGTGGAAGGAATAGTGCCCCATCATTGGTATCAGTGGGAGGAATAGTGAATAGTGGAATAGTGCCCCATCATTGGTATCAGTGGGAGGAATAGTGCCCCATCATTGGTATCAGTGGGAGGAATAGTGCCCCATCATTGGTATCAGTGGGAGGAATTGGTATCAGTGGGAGGAATAGTGCCCCATCATTGGTATCAGTGGGAGGAATAGTGCCCCATCATTGGTATCAGTGGGAGGAATAGCCCCATCATTGGTATCAGTGGGAGGAATAGTGCCCCATCATTGGTATCAGTGGGAGGAATAGTGCCCCATCATTGGTATCAGTGGGAGGAATAGTGCCCCATCATTGGTATCAGTGGG